TGGGCCAGCACCCATACTGCAGAGATGCAGCCGCTGGTTCCCAAATCATCTCTCCCACTGGCTTTTGGCACCCTCCTCCGTGCTCAGGCTCAGCTCTACCCTCTCATCACCTCCACTTTGTTATTTATAGCCTGGCAGGAGAGCAGGACACGATAGCCCTGCGACCAGCTGCCATCCCCTATCCCCACGTCCCACAGGCACAAGGGGCACAGCACGGGGCACCACCAAGTTAAAAAAGCTTTTAATGGCTACAGTTTCTTTTCAAGGGCACTTGTGACAAGGCAACTCGGAGCGCCCAGGGCACACATGGCCCCTGGACTTCCAGGCACAGGGGCAGCCGGAGCCGCAGGGACGTGTCCAGCAGTAGCAGGACGGGTGGGCCCGGCCCCAGCTCCCCACGTCCCATACCCAGTGTCGGGTCTCAGGGCAGGGATTGCGGTGGCACTTCATCCCTGGGAGATGCACCAGCTTCTGGCCCTGGTGCGGCCAAGATCTCCTGCCCAGGAGCCCAGCAGCGTGAATGTTTAATCCTGCATTAAATATTCATCCCAGTAGAGCGGGCGGAAAACCTTCACAGTTGCCCTGGGTCTATCCAGGCAGGCGTCTGGAGCCAATGGGGCTCCATGGGTCCAGCTCACACCCCCCTGTGCACTGACATGGGGGGTCCCAGTCCACCCACTGGTTGGGGGAACTGGCCCTGCTGCTGCGGAGACAGAGACTCCCTGCGCTGGAGCTTGGCAAAAGGCTTTCACCTGTGGCATCAGCAGAGCCGAGACGCATCATTGCAGGATGAGAGCCACCCTGTGGCCGGGGTCTCTGTCACCTCGTCCCATGGCTGGCGCTCTACCCACCTGCCCAGGACGGGTGGGTGAAGACAATATTCCTCCTCTTGGCCCAGCGGGAGAAGACAGCTTTCTCGGTGATGAAGCGGTGCCCGGCGCGGTGGGCTCGCTCGTGCACCAGGTACATCCTGCACTCGTCCAGCCGGCCCTTCTCGAAGTAGTGGTAAGGCACGCTCGAGTGGTTCTTCTCCCTGGTGGAAGGGGACAGGGTGGGCATAGGACTTGGGGGGGACCCCGAACCCCCCCACACCTGCACCCACCGCTCCCTGTGCACCTGCAGTAGCTGTCGCTGACCATGCCGAAGACAAAGATCTGCTCGCACATCTCCATGGCCAGGATCATGGTGAACCAGCCTGTGCTCAGGAAGGAGCCGGACTTCATCCTGCAAAGCACCGTGGCTGCGCTGGAGTGGGTGGCATGGTGCTGCCATCCCAGCTGGGCTATGGGTGCCTGATGGGGGGAACGGGTGCTATGGTGGGAGGGCCTGACAAGGTCTCTTTGAGAGCCAGTGGTACCTGTTCTTCCCCGTCTCATTCTGGAAGACATCGTCGCAATACATCATCTTCTCCTCAGTCAGGGTATAGATCTGCAGGTGGGGGTATCTCTCCATCACGTTCAGCAGCATCTGGTAGGTCGAGCCCACTGGCTCCCGGTTCATCTTCTTTGCTGGCCCCCAGATGACATAGAGGGTCTCCTGGGACTGCTGGAAGAAATAGGGCTGGTTCCTCAGCAGCAGCGGAACGCTGGTGTGCGACACCACGCGGATGGTGCTCCGCATCCCCACGTCGTCCTCGTAGCCGGCGGTGGGGGCATGGTTCATGCGCAGGACACACTCGTGCTCGTCAATGGCCTGTCCCAGGAACGAACCCAACATCTGCCCCGAGCTGGAGACGATGGCGCAGCGGCGGCACAGCGCTCGCT